TCTCCCGGCTCTCTTTTTATCCAACTTCGGGATCTTATACTTCTTTTGAGTCAAAAGAAAATCAGAGTCTGAATTTTCGTAAATTTCACCTTCTGATCTATCGTTGTTGACATCAGATTCAGAAATAACTCGTTTCCGGCCACAAATGGGTCTTTTATCTGTACGACGACTTTCTGGTTGTCGTAAATTATCCATCGAGTTTGCAATAATTAATTGAATTTCTTCAAAAGACTTTTTATGCATTTCAAGCATTTCCATTTTGAAGTCAGCAAAAGTTTGACTGTTATCTTTTGAAAAACTTGAAGTTTCGATGATTGCATCATCTTTATTTTTGGATGAGGACGGTCGATTTCTTGCCGCCATTTCACTCGGACTGCATGTGACTTTTTCTAAATTTCCACCAGTTGCAGTTGATTTAATGCTAGTTTTAAAACTATCAGTCCTTTTTACAGACTTTCTGCTTTTATCTTTTTCAAAAATTATACTAGCGAGATCAAAAGTTGACTTGCTGGCCGAAGTAGAAGTTAAACTTTTCTTCGTAGAATCCGCCATTTTCTCGAATCTCAAGAAAATGCTTTAAAAAAAAAAAAAAAAAAAAAAAAAAAAATTGTCGATTAACGACAGATAGTGCTATCTCGTAGCAACTTAAATTAATAAAATAATGGCCTCACTAGATTTCAACTAAACCACATGTCATAGGCCTAAGTCGAATTTCTCAAAATATTTAGAAAATTAGAGATCGACTATTGAGAGGTGCTTTCACCTCGATGGTTAGACACACTAATGATGGTTTTAGGCGCGCGCATCTCACATGACCTCGAAATGACGTCATACAGTAAGACAGAATTAGATTCCAAGGACATGGAGTATCACTTAAAAGCTAACTCAAAACAATTAGGGAAAAAAATTAATATTTTTTTGTTACAAGGGACGACTGCACGAGAAGCGCTCAAATCCAATAAATTTTTATTTTAAAAAGGTACAAAGTTACAAAGCTGAAATTTTGAACACATATCCACATAGACTAGCTAGACATTTACAAAAAAACCAAGCTCAAAAATCCCCCATAGGAAAAAAGGGTAGCACAGGACAAGTTGCTTATTATCTGCTCTTTTAAGCCATACCAAGGTTGAAGGTCCGATACCTAACTTTGCGAAATACGCCGATTTGGCCCATGTTTGGGACTTTTCCTTCTAATTAGGGCCCAGGCACATGGTATATCACTTAAAAGCTAATTAAAAACAATTAGGGCAAAAAATGGATATTTTTTTCTTACAAGGGACGACTGCACGAGAAGCGCTAAAATCCAAATAAATTTTTATTTTAAAAATTTACAAAGCTACAAAGCTGAAATTTTGCACGTATATACACATGGGCAAGATAGACATTTAGAAAAAAACCGAGCTCAAAAATTTGCCATAGGAAAAAAGTTAGCCCAGGAAAAGTTGCTTATTATCTGCTCTTTTAAGCCATACCGAGGGTGAAAGTCCGATACCTAACTTTGCGAAATACGCCGATTTGGCCCATGTTTGGGACTTTTCCTTCTAATTAGGGCCCAGGCACATGGTATATCACTTAAAAGCTAATTAAAAACAATTAGGGCAAAAAATGGATATTTTTTTCTTACAAGGGACGACTGCACGAGAAGCGCTCAAATCCAAATAAATTTTTATTTTAAAAAGTTACAAAGCTACAAAGCTGAAATTTTGCACGCATACACACATGGGCAAGCTAGACATTTAGAAAAAAACCCAGCTCAAAAATCTCCCATAGGAAAAAAGTTAGCCCAGGAAAAGTTGCTTATTATCTGCTATTTTAAGCCATAGCAAGGGTGAAGGTCCGATACCTAACTTTGCAAAATACGCCGATTTGGCCCGTGTTTGGGACTTTTCCTTCTAATTAGGGCCCAGGCACATGGTATATCACTTAAAAGCTAATTAAAAACAATTAGGGCAAAAAATGGATATTTTTTTCTTACAACAGACGACTGCACGAGAAGCGCTCAAATCCAAATAAATTTTTATTTTAAAAAGTTACAAAGCTACAAAGCTAAAATTTTGCACGCATATACACATGTGCAAGCTAGACATTTAGAAAAAAACCCAGC